GCTTATAATCATATCAAAGTGATTATATGATTATGAGCAATAAATTGTGCTCGAAACGTCATCAGTAAACATTACTGTATAACACTGTGAGACTTTATCAAAACAAAATTTACCCATAATGGAATGACAATATGTTTTGTTTGCCAGCCTCTATTTCTCTCAGCGTCAATTAACTCGTATTCAAGAGGTTATCGTGGCGACAATTATGCACGGTGATGATATATACAATGTGTCTTCTCATTCAGGATACTGATTTCACCAGAGTCATCCAGTTCGATTGGTAAGACAGAAATGATTTAAAGATCCTTTCTGTGGTACTGGTATTAACTCGAGCGAATTTTCTTAGGATCAATATTCCCTAGATGACATCCATAACTAATTGACACAAACTCGAAAATTTCTCTATTCTTTAAGAACACGGGACCGTAGAGTGAAGCACTCGAATTCGATTCGCTCTGTATGCCTCATGATGTACAGTCGACGGGGCTTTCATCTGAACTGACGCATCCCCACTGACCCACAGCACTTAGCTGGTGAATACTGAGTTGCTAATTAGTTTCCTGACATAGTGTACGAATACCATAGAATCAGTCAAAAAGAAAACCTTATCAGAGAAACCAGGAAGATTCTTTCTTATCACTTCGTTCACGCTAGAACTCAAAAATAAGGCTGCTAATTCAAATCTGGGCGCGGTTAACGGATCGTGGGGACCACTCTAGCCTTACCACACAGCGAAATCCTGACCAAATTTTCCTCTTTGCAGTAATAAAACCTGAAAATTGTAGGCATAGAAGGATTATGCGGATTTTTCGAAATATGTGAAAACCTCATGATTCTAGTGAGTGTTTTCTGTCATTGTCATACTTTGCCTCGATTTAATACGAGTATTTCAACCATCAACTATTTCTGCTTACGGTTAATGTACTTGGTAATTACATGGAACTCAACTACGTGAGTTGGTTTACAGCAATCAACGATTAATGTATCTTGATGACGATGCAGATTGTTTTGTTGCAGATAACTGTGACTGGTTCATTGTAGGCAGCTTTCACAGAAGTTAATCAGCAGCATCACAAAGCACGAAACGAAACGGAGAGACTTGAATTCTGGAAACCGACAGTATTTCCTTGTCATGAGCACGAGTTGGGGTTGCTCGAATTAGTCTTGTAAAGTGTTTCAGATTCTGAGGGCAGTAGTAAATATAAGAAGCACATGATTTACCGCCAAACGAAGCAAAGTGTATGCCAGAATATCGGAGTGTACTTCAATGTCAGTCGTGCTAACAAACTAATCTGAAATTGTGTCATCGAAAATATTCCTAGAGAAATACCATGGAGGAAAGCTTTCAAAATAATCTGATATTTCCTACGACTTATTGTTTATTGGGGATATCGCAACATTATTTATTGCAATGGCAACGGTGAAATGCAGTGCTTCTTTGTAGTTATAAACCACAATGGCTGAAAACCAGTGAAGCGAAGACTGAGGAGAAGATAGAATATATTGAAACATCTCAACATTGGTACTGGTGATTGTCCAGTCGTATGATGTGATTGGTGAGTGAATGGTGACAAGCAGTTGTGGGGATGTTGGCTGCCGACTCTCTTCTTTTCTGTGTGTTTTTACACCATCTTCTGTCCCCGTACCAACCAGGAGAAGTATGTAAATTTGGGGGTTAAATTCATAGAAAGAGTGACGCGAAACAATATCACGTACCGGCTCACATGGTTCGCGTCTGCTTGTTATCGTAGGTGCAAGTTTGACTGCATTTTTTGGCACTGGCAAATGCGCCAACCTCACAAACTCATTCCAGATTGGGAGTTTTGTGTCTTCCACAGGCTACTCACGGAGTGTGGAGATATGTTACTAGATTGGGTTGTGTGATTATGGGACGACTTCTCGGTTTAATGTGCTTTCTAATACCACACAACTCCTGAAGTACTACGATGAATGCGACCACTCGGAAACTTGATGGCTAGTCGGTTGGAGGAGTGAAGGGATCTTTAGAGTAGGCGGAACCACTGCACACTAAGGCATAAATTCCAGTGACTGGCCCGGTAGCCTCTTCACCTCTGATGGGTAACTCTGCTGACTCCATCACAGGTGAGTTTTAACAGTGTGACTGTTTGTGAAGTTGATATTTTACACCGTATCGTACTTCACATAGGCAGTATGCCCACTTACTCACCTGAATAGTATACCACATTACCTACAAATAACGGTAACAATACACAAGTTGATGAGACCTAATAAATTTAGAAATATGATAGAGAAGATTTGTAGCTCAGGTGGATAATTTTGATGTGGTTTTGTTCTCTGAGCTGGTTGGTTAGTTTGCGAAGCTTTCGTCGCCCTACTGGGTGACATCTTCAGCGCATACTTCAAGAGGGGAGAGATAATAGACAGAATTGTGAGTGAGGGAAAAGAATATTCGTATGGAAGAAGAAGAATAAAGTTCTGTCTGATATGACCAGCTGCAAAGAGTCAGTGCATCTGCATAACTCATTGAGAATGATTCTGAGCCGTGTCATCAATAATCTCCAGACGTCATTGGTTCCTACCATCCCGAGGAGCATGTCCGTCATAAATAATTTGTGACTGTTTAGTAGTTACTGTTTGAACTGCAAATCATTTCTCTGTGATCTTGAATTTAACAAATTGTTTCATTTAATTTCAACTCCTATTGACCTCTATTGCTAATCGTAGCTTGCTGCCTGATCTTCAGTATCGAGTCAGGGAATACAGAAGTTGATAGAAGCCTGCAGCTTGTTGGAATCAATTCTTCGTGACGTACGTGTCGATTCTCTGAACCAAATGGAAGTATATTAGTGTTGGAGACAGGAATCGTGTATCATAGATATATTCAGGTATATTCCCACATTACTTTGCTATAATACCTCCACCACAGGATATTACGGGGTGAATCATGTTTTTGAAACAGATGAGGTGTTTGACTTTGATGGCCTTATTCAGCGCTCACAAATCAAAATCAACGCCATTTACATATGTCAAACGTAATCTTCTCCTTATACTTTTGCTAATGAAACCAGCTTGAGACAACTAGATCTTTCTGTGCCGGAATAGTCACCATGAAAGTTTTATATGTATCTAAAATTGTTGTTTCACGTTCTATCTGAATAGCAGTGACCACATCTCAATATGAATGGTTGTCAACTAATCGTATCTATCACCCAGTAGTATCACTTTCTATGCTTCATCTTCTTTACTCTTATTTCTCTAATAGGATACAGTACACGGTATATAATGGTGTAGCTTCCTCTCCTTTGCTTAGTGAAGCTAGAGTTCCGCAGGGTGCTGTTCTCTCGCCGTTTCCCTTTTTCTTGTTCATACATGACCTACCTCTTTCTGACGAAATCAACTTCGTCAAATATGCAGATGACCTGACTGTTTCGCTTTCCGTTAGGTCTCAGTCAAACTGTTTCAAATTAAATAACTTTCTGTCGGACATCAGTCAGTGGTCTAAACTAAATGGCCTCATGCTGAATCCCTCAAAATTCCAGACTATTGACTTCTCCTTTTGGCATAAACGAGATCTACAAACACTAGTAAGTACTCGTGAAGCCTGTAGCATTGAGGGGACTAAAATTGAAACTAAGTCTAATGCAAAATACCTCGGAGTAGTTCTATCATCCGACCCTACTTGGCCATCTCATATCCTAACGATTTCTAAGAAAGTGTTCCGTCTAGCCTACTACACTAAGAAACTCAGACTAACTGGAATCACCCAATCTCTACTTTCACAATTTGTCAACTCTCGTATCCTACCTATTCTACTTTACTGCTCCTTGGCTTCTGAAAAAAGACCATACCATCTTGAGAAGGATGTTGAAGGTAGTTATTAGGACTAGTGGTATAAAACTCAGTCAGCTCGTCACTACATTAGTAGAAAGGCATCTGAATACATGCGAAAAATGGTCTAAGACCATCCTCTCGACCCACAACACCCTCTCTATTCCTAACTCTCTCCTTGCAGCTCATCAGGTAGAACCAGAAATCAATACAAAATAATATACTCTTGTACAACGAAGTGTAGGAACTCAACGATACCATATTTGGGCCGTGTTCTAAGTGACAGAGACAATGTTGAGCGCGAAACCTATGACTTGCTTTGTTGTTAATAACAAAATTTTTGCTTTTTTATTTCTTTCTTATTCGTACTCTATAGTGAACAACCTTCTTAAACATAATTAGCTACCTGAATTATTAACATTTGCTTACTTTTTTGTTCTTTATTCTATTCCTCTTTTGTGTATCTACTGGAATCGACTGTATTATCACTATGAGTGTCACAAAATTATCCTGTCCTTAACCATCATTTAATATTAGTTTTGTGGTTGTTTTGTTCGGCAATATTAACTGACAGGCTTGGTTGTGAATGCAATTGTCACCATCTTAAAAATTTTGTACTATGCAGGATTACTCACACTACCGATACAAACACCACATTAGAGCTGACAATAAAAACCCTGAAACGCTTATTTTATGATTGTTTAGTGTTGTTCAATCAAATTAACTGATCATGCCAAAAACATTCTTAATATCACTTCATTACTTCTTGTATGGTACTATTTTATTGTTCATCACGAATAAACATATAATAGCTTCCATCACCCAATAATGAGATATTATGTATTACGTCGTTTTTTCCATTATACTTCTTGATATTTTTTCGCACTTTTTCTGCTGTTTTGTGCTTTTTTGTTGTTTTTTATATTTATTTTTTGAAATACTCCTTTTAAATGTTTGATAAATCAGATGCAATATTGTAGATAAGTGCTGAAAACTCCACACCGTACCACTGGTACTTTTTCTGAAATAAAGCGAATTATTATATTATATATTAATTCTGTGTTGGTTAAGTGACTTCGTCATTGTATTTCGATGTGAAACCTTTGTACTTTGAATGGTACTTTAGATTTGAAAGAATTAGCTCTTAACTAAACTCATCAGTAGATTTTGTTGAGTGTTGAGTTTGTTAGTAATACACTAGTGTGTTAGGCGACATTCATTGATATACAGCGCGCATAACTGGATGATTATGACTGAAACCACTCGATGTGAGATGTGATAACACACTGAGAAAGGTAAAGCATCAATCAATAAGATAATGATAATTATTGACAGTTTTGACGAATATATTTGCACAAATATGTGACGATATTCTGAGTGAGAGATTACAAGAGAGGAGCTAACTTAAGTAGGTGAAATTCACTGTTATTTATTTTCCTTGCTGTGTTTCATTTTTGACTGATTAAGGAACGTTTATCAATTTTCATAATCAGCAGATGAATGTATTTTTTATGGCATTTTCTAAATACGCTTTCCCGTTATTCTTATTGTGATTAGCATTATTTATTCCATGTATTCTCAGTGGAACGTAGGGCTTCAGCGATTTACCTTTATTGCATCCCTTTTTTCTTTTATCACATGCAGCTAGTTTCACCATTCCCTAGCAGATTTCATCTTCACAGTCTCCTTCATTTTGTCCTCGCAGCCCAACCAATCTCCTTTTATTTGCTTCCCACTAGACAGCCTGATTGATTTTCGATTTCACTCGGAGGTCTCCTCAGGTTATATCCGACTCATCTGCACTTTCTTCAGTATGTCTTTTGGGTGACAGCTTCTTTACTGGTTCGCTATCTTCCATTGTCCCTTATTGTTTGCACTATGAGACAACCCAACTGATCTTCACTATCCAACTAAGGCAGCTATCAGTTACAGTCTACAGTCTGTTATGAATGATTTCATTGATAGACATAAAGTGTCTGAAATATATGGAAGCGATGAATTGACATTAGTGTAAAACATGCGGATAGCATTCCTTATTCTGAATCCTGTAGATTTCCACATCGATTAAAAAATGTTGGACACCAGTCTTCATTTCCCAATCCTTGATATAACAAACTCACATGTGCCGTCCTCAGTTGAATGGGTACTGTTCAAGTAATATGCTTCAATAAACTTACTCAGCTGGAATGTGTATATTGATTTAGAGTGAAATTACAGGCTGATTTCAGTTGAGTTAACTAAAAATGATGAGTTTATTACTGTTGGTGGTCAAATCATTGTAGAGTAATTCGGTTCGTTGGCTGTATATTTTTCAGGCCTTACTCTAACCTCGCCTGACATGAATTGAAACGAAATTAAATTTGCGAAATTTCGGTTTGATAGGGATTCACTACCTTTGACAGTTAAGATGAAGCCAAGTTGTTAGAATGGGAGCACACAGATTCTGATTTTTCGTTACTCATATTTAACATGTAACCGGAATTGATTCAATTGGTTTCTGAGGATACTGAATCGAATTGAGCTGTTCAGGTATCACTGGTTTAGTAAATTAAAGATGTAAATGAGCGTAGTCAACGTTTCTGTGGTGTAATTGTTCACGCAATAAGTTTCTCCATATATCCAGTTAAGGTTCAGAGGTAAACATCATTACTTTTACTTGATTCCTTAAAGTTCTCAGCGAAACATAAAACACCGAGCTGGATTTTCGAGGTTTCAGTGTCAGTGGTTTCATTCTTACGATTTGGGACTGTCGACCTCACGCCCAACCTTCTCTCCATACCGGCATTACCATTGGCTTGCAGAGGTTTAGGAGTGGTCGACTGAGGATAGATCTCCGGACCATGTGGGTGGTTGGCGAGGGTTGTGCCACTAAACTGCTGACGCGACAGAGGGAACCGTAAATCTCCACATTTGATTAAGAATCATATTTCATCATCTTGACAAAAAGACATTTTGTGGTGGATTTTGAATAATTCATCACGTATTGTGAAAGTCAGTTTAAACAAGAATATAGGTTGTACTACATTTCTAATATTTGTTCTGATGCCAATCAGTTTTCTCAAATTTTGTTATTATCTTCACTTGTCAGTACAAATATGAAAAGAAATGCAGCTGATGAGATTATGGAAGGTTATGATACATCTGAGAAGAATTTGAAACGTCAACGTCTGGAAAGACAACCATTCTCTGTGAGTCAAGTGATTTGGGTGAGGGCATTATGCGTTCTTCAACTGATTTTCATTTTTAGTTCGCCGTCGACACAGTATGGATGGTGTTGATAACAGTTGCAATAGTTATATCGTTGACCATAATGTAAGCTTAAATTAAACTTAACATGCCTTGTAGAAAACAACTTTGCAATTTCTTCAAGCAAAATGCTTACGTGAAGTATCTCATTTTGTAAGTTGGATATTTAACATTGATTACTCTGTTTTATGCTTACAATTGTGAATATATTCCATTGGAAAATGACAAATAATTATAGTGTTGCATTGAATTTGGCACATTTGTACACTACCTGTAGAACAGTGGAAGCTGTTACTTAATATATTGTATAGTGGAAGGAATATATTTGACACAGAACACATGGATATCATGTTATCTTTTCACTGACTATAATGTGAACTCTGGCGTATTCCTCAAAATCATTTCAAGATAACCAAAATAAATTCTGCAAACAGTCTGACTGGTGGGTGTGCTACTAAAACGAACTATCAGTAGTATATATACACAGACAAGAGATGTTCATCGGCATAAAACACCAAATAGCAGGCAGATAAATTCGATATCAGAGAAAGCAAATGATCCAGCGTTGAGGAGATACATGGGAGACGTGAACGTAACAGAAAGAAACACATTATGAATCGAGGGCAGAAGTAGCACAACATGAAATATCTCAGCAAATGGTGATTTGAAGATAAGGTGTGCATAATTTGATTATATAGAGACACCAAATTGCAAATAAATACTCCTTCACCAAGTCCTTCGTCTTGTAGCATTATACGATGAAGCCCTTCGAATATTTCCTCTTTATGTTGTTACAACCTGTATTTATACGGATTGCGTCACATTCAGTTTTTTGATGGAGAGAGCTGGAGGACAACTCGACTACATATAAATTACGGGATATCTCAGTTTCTTCTCATTGCTGAGTTCTTTGATACATGAAACTAAATCAACTTATGACTGGGGAGATTACTAGGGAGGGATTTGTCATCATAGATTTACAAATGAAGGAAGAGTATAGAATGGTGTCAGTGAAGTTTGCCGTGTTCTGTTCAGTACACAGAATCACGATCATCTCACAGAATATAAGTGAACAGAGAATAAGTCAGATAAGTAAGGAAACTTCCTAGATTGTTAAATTTCTGCATTATTTTTGCAACTTCATTACGGTGAAACTGTCAATCTGAAACTATGTGGTGATTCTTACGTACTCATTGTCATGGATGAAGTTATTTTGAAAATAGCAAAGTCAATGAAAGTCATAGGGGAATAAGTATATTCCAAAACTGATATCATATGGAAAGTGTGTATTAGAAATCTTGTGTGTTTGATTCCACGAAGACTGGGAAGAGATTAAGAATCATATATGCAGTTCACTCGGAAATTTCGATGACGCACACACAGGCTAAACACTTTCCTCTGCACAGTGAACTTAGTGCCCTTAGCAGTAAGGAATCAGATCACACCAGTTAATTGGGATTAGGTGAGTTTTCAGTACACTGGAATTGAGCTAGGTGTACAATGGCACATCTGGATAGGAAGAATTTTTGCCGAAAATTACTTAGTCATTGCACAGCGTGTTTGCAGACAATTGCACCAAACTGGATGAGACAAAGATATGTGTGCTACAAATCAATTTACACAGTAGGTAAGTGGATCTTCACACACCACGCTGATATCTGACGCAAACGATATAATACGAGCAATGGGGATAAGCAAGAAATGGGAAAATTAGTACATCCATTGTATTGCAAGGATTAACAACTTTAGGACGATGTAAACAACATCAGGACTTCGTGTATGGAGAGATTTTGTATAAAGAGACAAAGAAACTCAGAAGGAATATTTCAGTGAAGTTCTACTGATTTCATGGAATTGTATTCTTGCATTCATTGGAGACAATAAAGATTGGTGTGGAGATAGAGACTTTCACTCTATTTCTCATAATAGTTCACCTATTTATTATTAATTTATTAGCCTACCTTTGTGGTCTTGTGTCTGCTCAACAACCATTTGATCATTTGACAACTACAGCTTGTCATGAAGTAACTGATCATGGATATTTTTCGATCAAATGTATAATGATTGAGAGATGGCTGTTCGATATTTGTCAATTCCTTTTCAGGCTAGGTGGTTTCGTCCCGCTGCTTCTCTTTCTATTCGTGAAGAAGCTTCAAATGCACTGTCTCATTGTTCGCATACTGCTTGGATTAACAGTGAGTATCATTTTTATTTGACTCTTCCATGGTACCGTAAGAATTTACACCATTTTGCAAATGGAACCAGTGAAGAGTGACTGTGATGTTTTGTAGGCATTTACAGTTACCATAAATGCACTAACTTAATCAGCCATTTTGGAAATTGAAAAGATGAAGATATTTGCAGTTCTGATAATAAGGGCTCGTTTTATTTCGTGGGTTCTCTTCTACCACGTTTATCCTAAATAAATCAATTAATTATATGTTACAAAGTTTCTGAAGATACCTTTTACAATGATTTCAAGTTATGCACAGTGTGTGAGAGAGAGAGTATAAACAACATAGTTAGATGGGTGATGTGAGTGGACAATTATTAAGTGTTAAATGAGTAGCTATTTCTGTAGCGATTAGACCAAGTAGGTGGAATTGATATTTCTCTTGGGAACATGGATGGACTAGAGACAAAATACAAGATAGAACAACAGAGTTAATTTTCACATATTTTCGTGGAGAGTTCAGGAGGTTGGGGGTGAATAGGAAATGAAAATTATAAGGTAGATAAAATAATACAACTTAGTAGATTTAGCGAAACCCTAGTAGGGGTTCACCTCGGGAAGTGAAAATCAAAATCACGATAGTAGATAAGGAAATGAAAATCATTACAAAAACTAAAAGGTTTCTTTCACTGCATTCCTTTTTCAAATTAACCATTTGCAAAAAAGTTCACTTTTTCCCAATCAACTCGCAGTTTGCACAGTTCGAGGTGTTTGTTTCCTAGAAGCAAGCAAGCACTAATGAATTATGTGAGCTGTATACAACTAATCGATTCAACCAATAAGTAGTATATAGTTTATTTATGCTTGGTATCCTGATAACCATTTATGGTGTCAAACAAATCACAACACATTGTGTAATCTGATATTTGGTACAATCCTGCTAACACTAACTATGTCAACAAAATGACATGTATCTGCGACAGCAGTTGCTTCGGGAGAAAAGAAAGCATAAGGACACACTTCCGATTCACTGAAAATGTACCAGAAAGTTTATGCCTCAAGAGAACAAATGCTCTCAATAGTGTCGTTGCCAGGCATCTGCTGGATACGAGTCATGAGATGGACGTTGCGAAATCCTTCAAAACTATCAATAGACAAAACAGCTCGATTTCTCCTCGTATTTTGTGAAGCAATCTCTATCAAACGCTTGAAACCTGATTTATATATATATATATATATGTGTTCAGAAAGAAGCAGTTATCAGTCTTTCCTTGGCCCGCAGCTGGTAAATGGGTGTCTTCATTCTCTATTTTCCTTCTCTCTGATTGCGTAATCTATGGCTGTAACCTCTCTCCCTTTTAATATAGTGTAACTTTTCTCGTCTCTTGTTTCTATGATTTGAGTTGAACTCACGCAATTTATTAGTTACTCATAATCTTAATCACCTCTTGTCTGTATTACGTAAATCCTTTGCCACTGTAAGCAAGCATTTGCTTTTCTGTAAACTTGAAGTATCTGGGTATAAACTATATAAGTAATTTCTAAGCACCGTTCATAAAGATTTTTTTCATTACAGCTTGATTCCACATCGTATATTTTGGTACAGGTTTGCAATTTTCAGCATGTGATATCGGTAGCCGAAATTTCGCAGGCCGACCATAGATATCAGGTGTGCGTTGGCAGGGTCTCGAACCTAGGAGCATTTGCATGGTCGGCGAGAGTTCTAACCACTGTGCCACCGACTCATTAATGAAAACAAAAGACATTTCAGCATACGTCATTTCGGCATACCTTTCCTTTTCGGAGAATTTATTATCTCCTCCTTGTCTGTTCACTCGCATTTATAAACAATTTGGTATTTCTCCGTTATAGATAAGATTTTATTTTGATAAATTACATGGTGTTGTAGAGTAATATTAACTGATGATGTTACAATGATTGGTCCCACGAAGATAAGTAATTTAGAAAAAAAACTCAGCACTGCGTGCATTAACAAACAACCACACAATAGGGTGGGACAGAGTCGAAATTCTAAGAAGTAATCTGTGTAGGTGGAGATAGAGAGAGAGATTGATTTCTGAATCCTGCCTGGATCATAGAGTCTACACCCAACACATGAGCAACAGAAATGACTTAATGCAAATACCAGAAATATGGAAGATATTATTACCACCAGTCAGTCAGTCAAATCAGAGGAGGATAATAAATAATCTCAAAATTCTACTTCATTTCACGTACATCATAACATTCTAACAAGTTAATTATTTTGACCATAAAAAAACACACGTCTTATTCCTCATCTGAATGTATTTGATCAATAACACTCATATCATTATTATTTCTGAATGTACTTTATCTTATATTGATTTTATTTTAATGTCTAACCAATTTCACTCAAGTATATAAATGAAAGAAGAAAGTTGTGCAAGTGACCTAATATGATTATGAGCAATAGTTTGTGCTTGTAACGTCATCAGTTAGTATTACTGTACAACACTGTGTAGTTTATCAAAATAAAATCTTATCTATAATGGAATTATACTCTACCACAATACCCAAGTTTTAAACTTATTTCAATTTGGTTTTTATGAAAGTGTATAGTAAGATAAGTGACGAAGTGTTGTCACAATTAGATTTGATAATATTAGTCAATGATTGCATCACAACAGTTGAATAAGGAAGGGTATTAGAGTTACGTAATAAGGTGGATAATTTAATGAGTGAGCTGTGATCAGGATGTTCACATAGAAACAAAGGCAAATACGAAATTATTTGGGCGTTCTTAAGAAGAACATGAGTTCTAAGGAGTTAGAAAAACAAACTAACAAACAAACGCAAATCAAGTGGGGAGAAATCCGTAACAATGTGGTTGTTTCCATGATGGTAGAAGAAGTGATTGAGTAATTCTCTCCTGATTATGCATAGTTCTGGTTTCTGCATCTGAATGGCTAGAGCTTCAGCAACTTAATTAAAGGAGACGAAAGTGTATTTATTGTCTTTGGTGGATTATTCTTCACACACTGTAGATAACTTTGAAGGCAGTGTTTGTAGAGAAGGAGTGATCAGTGTTGGGTTATCACACTACTCCTTATGTAGAGCCGTTAATGTTACTTTTCTGCAACCACATTTTAAGATAGTGTTCATGAGGCATATTTTTGGGCAGGATATGTATCAAATTGCGAATTTACATTGACCCGTCACAGCAATAAGTGAACTGATAAGTGCTCTCTCGTGTCATTAACTGACATTGTGCCATCACATTTGTAAGTGCTTTAAAATTGTTCTGTTCATTAAAACGTATCCGTTGGAAAGCCAATGAAACAAACAATGATGGTATCATCATTATTCTGCGCAAGCCGTTGCTCTTACTTTATTCAAATCTGAATAATCTCGTTCCATGTAAGATAATTTTATTTCGAATATCACACACAGTAATGATGCAGTATTAACAACTGGATGACAAGATTTCCAGCATACATTATTGCCACTCATAACCATCATATCAATTCAGTCACACATCTTCACAATTTGTCTTATAAATGTTTTCTCTCTTTTTGTCTCTCTCCCCCTCCTTACATTGACGTCTGTTTCAACTTTGTATATTCCCGGCATGGGGTAAATTTAGCTACACCTAGAATGATTGCCCCCACTACGCTAAACAACCTAGGAAAGTCAAAGCCTGTCCTTTGCATCGCATTCACTGGAATGTAATCACACAATATGTTGGGTTGATGCGACAGGGTGAGAGTATTAGAAACTAATATAATTAGGTGGAGATAGTGTGACGGAGAGAGGGGGGTTAATCACTGACTGAGTCTTTGTTTATCGAATCACAACACCGCACAAGTGCAATCGGACTGTGACAATGCCCATACCGGAGATATGGAAATCGGCAACAAACAACAAGGGGAAGTTGGAGAGCGAGAGAATAAGAGAGAAAATATATACAGGACAAATTGTGAAGCTATGTGACTTGATTGATATGATGATTACGAGTGGTAACTATTTATGCTGGAAACCTTGTCATCCAGTTCTTATTACTGCATCTCATCACTGTGTGTGATGTTTAAAATAAACTTTTTTTAATATGGAATTATATTCTACCACAGTTTCTAAGTTTCTCACTTACACTACTGAATAATTTCAGTTTCTATAGGAAACTGAGGTGGAATTTCACCACCTCAAAACCGTGAAAACTGAGAATCAGTTTTCAAAATGCGAACTTATTTGGAGATTGCGAATTCAATTTATGGTATTACCAATTCGCCAAGTAGCTATCTAGCTCTTCAGCTACCCAGAAATCGGATGGTTTTAACTAATTCAGTTTTCTTTGTTTCTCAGCTAAGTACATTGAACTGATGATTTTGGCCTCTAAACGAGCGAAACAGCCTTCCCGTATTGTTTCGACCACTTCATTCAGGTTATTTAGCTAGCAAACACCATTGATCTCCATGTAAGTGATAGATATACACAACTACTCATTTCAACCAATAAGTAGTATGTAATCCTTCAATAAAAAAGTAATAACACATAAAACAGATTCACAGCTTACATTGGTGACCATCGATAGTCCAATTAAGTAGTTGACTATGCATACACCTGCAACAAACGTGCAACGAATCCAAGTTTTAGCTAATGCTTTTGGAAAATAATCTGCCACAGCTGTTATGATTCCTTCAGCGCCACCAAACTGAAAGTAAGCAGTATATTGTGCGGAAAAATGTAATGTATAAAAATTGATCACTGGAGTGATTATATGCATATATATATACGCTATATATTAGAAAAATTTGACACGCCAAGGAAAGCATTTCCAACAGGCCTTCTCAAGACTTTGACCAGCAGCTGCCCCCCCTTTGCTGGCTTCTACCATCTAACAACAATCCAGTGTGCAGCGTGATAGCCAGCTGTGCCGGTGCATAGTTGCCACACTGCTTATTCGACTGATAGTGAGTTCAGTCTGCGGCAAACGAAGGACCTGACGCGCATGATACATCAGTCACTACCTGGTGTTCAATTAATATGTTCCATAATGTAGATTGATAGGAAACATCCAAAACCTGAAATCATCTTTTGATGCCCATAGTTGTGAAGGTTTAGACTTTCAACGTTATAATTGTTCCTATGGTTCCCCAATAGGCCATAAAGCTTCAACAGCATATCTTCAATTTATCCTACTTTCTACTGTCATCACTAGCTTAACACAGCTCCTTGCTGCTAATTCTTTCTGGACAGTTGTCCATTCAACCTTCAATATGGACCCGGAGAAGGCAGCTGCTGAGAAAAATTCTTTTGATTTTTGAATTCGTACCACTGACTGTAGTTGAGCCGGTATTTCCTAGAGGGATGTGTGGAAGAAGTGACCTCTTTCAAATTTCTCTCACTGTTGTTGTTGGTCAAGTAGCATATTTGTCACCTCATTCCTCTCTATGCTCATTTGAAGTCCTGTCTTCGCTATCTGCTTCTTTTGCTTGTCAGTTTTCGAGTTTTTGTGTGACATCAAAAAAAGATCATCCACTGCCGAAGCCCAGATCTTCTGTAATCGTCTTATCGGCCCAGCATATTCCCATCACCTCGTTACCTGCAATCTAGTGCGTATGTTTGTGCAGGTAGAAGCGTTTATCCCTCCAATCTGGATTCAGTTTACGTTGCTGTTTGGAAATAGCCTCACTGGACAGGATAGTTTGACCTTAGATCGATCACTGACCAATCAAAACAGTTACTGCGCTTGAGAACTTTAATGTGGCTAACAATATGTATATATATATATATATATATATGATGTTTTTTGTTTCACTAATAAGGGTCTGTTAGCATTTATAAGGGCACTGAAGTCCTCATGTTCCGTGATGGGAACTCAAAAGGAATGCAAAAAATAACTGAGAACCCTAACAACAGTATTTCTCAAAATGTTTCCACTTACCATACTATCAATCCCAAGTAAGATAATCATTGAAAAGAAGCATATTGACCAAAATGAACTCAATGGCATTGTTCCGATAGCTTTAGGGTAAACAACAAATCCCAGCCCTGGACCAGATTCTGCAATCAAATTCATCGGAATGTTTGATATATGCGACATATAGCCGAGTGTAGCGAATATTATACAACCGGAAAGTAAACTTGTAAAGGTATTGGCCACGGCGAATAAACAACAGTCTCTGCAAAAACAAAAGGAAGGGAAAATAAAAATACAAATTTTCACTACTAATGTCAAACTTAAAACAAACAACAAAGGATAATTAATAAAGCAGGATTACTATTTAATGAATTTCAGACAGAGCTCCTGTCCAGCTAAATGCTCTACATACTGGGATGTCTAGAATTACATTAGGAGGTATAAGACTGATAAGTAAGTAAACTACATTAATGAGTCAATCATTAAAAACGACAAGTGTGAATGTTTTTTAGGTCATGTTCAGATGGATAAATTTGGGGGCGGGGAGGTAGGGAACATAAGAGACTAAAATTAAGATACGGTTCAATTATACCACTTAAAAAAACGGGAAGTTATCAGAGAAAGAACTTGAATATGTCAAGAATTGCGAACTGAATAATACTAATGATAACAACAGTAGTGGTGACAACAGTACTAATAATATGAATAAACCAAGAACGACAGCTTGTGCAGATACATGTAAACTTGCATACTTCCACACCTGCTGCTGGTATTCAAATGCATACTCCTAATGCTTACCATAGATACACAATGTTAGTTTGATACAACACCCTTTACCTCCGCATAGGCAGTATAGCTATGGGCATTTCAGTTAGCCCTGTTTTAATAGGCAACTTCACGTTCAACCTTGAAAGAACAAAGGTGAAACATGCAATCTTGATGAGACACCTGCCTACTGTCGATATGTCACAGATGACACATTTGTAGTGTCCAAAAATGAAAGCGTTATGCTTCCTACCTACTCAGATTATTCAACAACGCCAAGGAATACTGTGGAACATGAAAATCATGAGGAGTTTCATTTCATGAATCTCCTGGAAGATGGTGTGGTCTCCAGAGATCAATTTGCCGAAAGCTGAGATGAAATGGACAATACCTACATTTTAATAGTTTTTGTCTAAGTAGCTATAAAAGCAAGCACTAGTCAAAACTACCCTCTACCGAGTCAGGAGAATGTGTTGTACAGAGAAACTAGAAGTAGTCTCAATTGTCGAAAAGATGTTGAAGAGCAATGGTTACCCCTAGTGATTTATTATTAAGTGCGAAAGATGCACGTAAGTCTGAGATGCCAAACAAATCACAGTGGGAAGAAAGCCAATCTTCATTCAACTTAATTTTGAAGGTGATATTATACTGCAGGACTAGTCAACAGAAGACTGAATACGTCAGCAATTCGAGCTTATCCCCTGCACTTCGGTAACTTGGTTCCTGCTCATCGGACAACATGCTCTTTGTTGCAATTAAAAGTTGGCAGATACTCTTCTCATGTTAACTCCAATTAAGTGTACAAATTTACAAGTACCTGCGGGAGCAGTTACATTGGGAGAAAAGAAAAAATAAGGACACACCTCTGATTTTCTGAACATGTACCACAAAAGTCTACATCTCAAGGGAACAAACGCTCTCATCAGTGGCATTATTAGGCATCTCCTTGATGTAGGTTATGAGGTGGATATTGCAAAATCCTTCAAAACTAACAATAGACAACACAGCTCAGTTCTCCTCATATCTGATCAAGCAATCTTCATCAAACCCCTGAAACCTGATTTAAGTGTGTGTGTGTGTGTGTGCTGAAAGAAGCAGCTTTCGTTCTTCCCTTGATCCCTCACTTGGTAAATGGATGCTTTCATTCTCTATTTTAATTGATCACGAAACTCTGAAAATTCCATTCTGTATGATTGAAGTTTATGAATAGCTATAGCCTTGGCGTATTTTAATAAGCGCCCTTGACCGTTTTTATAGATGACCTTAAAGGTTGAGTTAACATCAATCTTATAGATAATCTCGATTAGTTCTTTAGCTATAGACAAAGTTGGTAGCCTGACACCTGAATCTATGCGTTTTTCACAATTCATTTGTTTTTCTAACCATCTCGGGATATGCTCGCTGTTCCACCCTCACATGCAAAGAACGATTACTCCTCCCTATGTACATTTGTCTACACACACACGAGAATTGGTAAATAGAGTGGGATGTGACATAATCACTTGTGCACTTCTGAGGTTTACAATGCAGCATATTTTTGGCTTTTTCCTTAATTACAAGCTGGGTTGCTTCATAGGTCCTACGGATGATCGAATTCAACCTTTGTCTCAAAATGCTACTGTTTATTTCCCCGTTAAATGGTAATTTGATGAAAACATAGACTGTAGGTTTAGAAACTAATTGACATCTACACCTGTTTAAAAATTTTAAAGGATATCCGTTTTCAACAAGAGTATGCATCAATATTTCGTTTACTTTGTCTATAAAATCAGCCGTGCAAATTCGTTGAATCCTCTTAAATAGACATTTCACCAAGCCTCTTTTATACTGTAATGGACGGAAACTGTGAAAATTAAGGTACTGTCCTGTCCAAGTGTGCTTTCTGTAGATTGATCGTCTTACTGAACCATCATCTCTTCGACTCAGAAGTATGTCTAAAAATGTAAGCTGATTGCGACTTTCTTCCTCGCATGTAAGACTAATATGATTCTGTACCGAGTTAAGTCTGTCTAACAGACGACTCGCATCTTCATGATCGTCACATATCAAAATGATATCATCTACATATCTCCTATAGAAGGGCAATTTTGAAATTAAATTAAGGGATAAGTTTTCAACATAAGACATGTAAACATCTGCTAACAAAGGTCCTAATGACTCCCCATAGCAACGGCATCCACTTGCCGAAAATGTTCACTTTCTAACGTGAAATGGACGTTTTTAGTATTTAATAGTGATAAATCTTTCAAATAAGTTAAAGGAAAAGGAAATGAAAAACAACTAGAAGATATATAGTCACAACAACAGCGTTAATAAAGGGTGGAAATGTATTACGGGTTCAGGAAAGAAAATAACACAACAGAGAAACAAAAACCACGGGAATCACATATCGAGTTTTAGGACAGATTAGGTTCATTGTAGATTTAGTGACTGAACAAAACTTCTTCCTCTGTAAAAATGGTTTGGGACTTCCTGTGTATGTGGATTGCCATCAATTCTCTAGTTTGAGGAGTTTGATACGTACTCTTTTAGCAAGATTCTCACCTATTCTGGGAAGGTGACTTCAAAGTTCTTTTGTGGGTTAGTTTGGTTTCGAGATTCTACCAGGTGTTTCAGGATACAACTATAGCAGAAAGGATGTGTTTTTTCCTTTACTAAACCATGACTGTGAACGATAGTGAATGCTGAGTATGGCCGATATACCTAAGTCGAATGGAGCAGATGAATTGATAGATACACATTGGTAGCTTTTCCTTCACGAATTTCATGTAAATCATTGGAACTGTGAAGAAAGTTAGTCGAATTTCCCCCGGCAAAATTAGTTCTCTTCAGTCAGCAGTAGGTCAACAGTTTTCTCTCTATGTCAGCAGCTGAGTCCCTCTATTGAATTATAGATTCAAGTAGAGAAATATTTTAGGAGCACAAAGTTTGGGCGGTTTGAGTAGTCAGAGGCTTCATGGATTTTGTGATACGGCGGAGCTGTAGGTAGCCATTTTCACAGAGCACTGTCTCCAGAAATATAAACTGATAAACGCATTTTGACATGGCGACGATAGGCGTCTTATCTTGACTTGTTAAATTATTTCCCTTGAAAGGTAATCTTGTAAACAAATAAGCCTACTTTCATTTCGGAAATGGTCTGTAAGATTACTATTCATCTATTCTCTTTTGAATGCTAATTTATGAGTCCTTCCACTGAATAACAACTTCTCGTTAGTGTCTCCCTTATGAAGACTCCAGGAGAACATAGAAAGGACAGAGTGATGAAGACAAATAATAAAAAGCAACAACAACCAGCACTAGTCACCATCAACGAGAGAAATTTGAAAGGAGTCACTTCTTCCACTCATCCCTCTAGAAAACATTGTCTCAACCACACCCCACGGAACGAATTCAAATGTCAAAACAAGACAGAATAGGAAAGGAAACACAGACATCTTGATCACTCTGAAACCAGTTTGCGAACCTCCTCTACTCCACCACAGCATAAAGAATAAGATTCGAATTTTCAACACAAATTGTATGTCAGTCTGCCATTCAGTTCTTCTATATGGGTGAGAAACGTGGCCAGCGCGTCACGGAAAGCATTTGCAGCAGAGTTTTCTCAGCAGCTGCCTTCGCTGACTCCATAATGAAGGTTGAATGGTCGACTGTCCAGAGAAAATTATCATCGGTTTAAACGTTGTTCGAATGCCGATATTTTGTGGTTTCTTTGAATCGCCTCTGATGTACCATTTCTATATGGTATTGTGACTGTTTTTTGGATTCTTCATTTTGTTATTCTCCGGTTTTACTCTCTTTTTTCTCTTTGTTATATTATCTTTCATAAATTCTTTTGGGTAGTTGTTTTTGAGTAGTATTTTGAATAGGACGTTTATTTCTTTACACTGATCCTCTGATGGTGTTGTAAGTCTACGTATTCTGTCTGCAAGACCTTGTATTAATCCTCGTTTTACTGTGAGTGGATGAGCTGAGTGACAATCAAGGAATCTTCCAGAGTGTGTGGTTTTTTCTACATATCGTCATTTTTATGCTACCATCTGTCATTCTTTGTAGTTTGCAGTCTAACGTAGGCAGTTCCCCAATTTCATTCTCTATTTCCATAATGAATTTTATTTAATAAATGTGTGAATAAAACAATTCCAACAGTGATGTGAACAAGCGCAGTAATTTTGCTCGAAATATTACCTATAACAAAACTTATTACTATGTGTAAACTACTGAAATATAATTATACTTTATTTGATCTAATCCATAATGCTCAAACTTTTTACTGATATCAATACTCAGAGGAGTTGATTGAATAACAGTACGTGCCATGTCGTGTCGGAAGCAATGAATCGGTCATCTAGACAATGAATATCCTAATGATACGGCCACTACATACTATAATTATTTGTTTTGTTGGCACACCCAAATTTTGAGGAGAAAAGATATTCCATCTTTTAAATGTCCGCCTATTCTAGACACAAGGGAAGCAATAAGATTTCTTTTT